TACAGAAAACAATTTATATTAGGGGAAAAATAGCTAATGAGATCTCATTTCAAAACACAGCATACTTGAATTAATCAATCTGAAAACAACACCATAACTGCAGCCCAATTTCTAATTGCCAACTCATAGAAGCAGCCCAACTGCCCATCAACCCATGAATAGATTAACAAATGATGGTATATGTACACCATAGAACTGCATTGACTATTCAGTTTATTTCTGGTTCTGTACAAAACATCAAACTATTTTTTCAAGATCTGCAAAGTATAAATTTGGTATTTTAATAGGGATTAAACTGAATTTGTAAATTGCTTTGGGTAGTACATTTTAACAATGTGGGTTCTTCCAAGCCATGAGCATGATTGTTCTATTTGTTAACATCCTCTGCAATTTCTTTTCTCAGTGATTAATAATTGTGTCTGTACAGATACTTTACATCCTTTGTTAAGTATAATCCAAGGTATTTAAATTTCTTTCATGCCACTGTGAAGGATATTGTGTAATTTGATTCTCAGCTTGATTACTGTTTATGTATATGAAAGCTCCTGATTTGTGTACACTGATTTTCTAACTTGTGATGTTGTTATATTTCCTTACCAATTCTAGGAGTCTCAATTGGTTGAGTCCTTAGGGTTTTCTAGATATAAGATAATAACAGCAAAGAGTAACAAGAAATAGTTTGACCTCTTCTGTCCTCATTTGGATATTCTTGACATCCTTCGCTCTTCTGATTGCTTTGGCTAGGACTTCTAGCACTGTGTTGAATAGTAGTGGTGATAGTGGACATCCTTTTTTGGTTCACAGTCTAAGCAGAAATGCCTTCAGTTTTTCTCTATTAAATCTGATGTTGGCTGTAGGTTTGCTGTAGTTGACTTCTATCAGTTTAAGGAATTTCCTTGCTATGGTAGTTTTATTAAGTGCTCTTGTCAAAAAATATGCTGAATTTTGTCAAATGCTTTTCCTGCATCTATTGAGATGATCATATGTCTTTGTTTTTACTTCTGTTTATGAATTGCATTTATAGATTTATGTATGTTGAACCAACCCTGCATCCCTAAAATGACGCCTACCTGGTCATGATGAACTATTTTTTTGATGCATATCTGAATTCTGTTTGCTAAGTTTTATTATTTCTGCATCAATATTAATAATTCTGGTCTGTAATTTTCTTTTTTTGCTATGTCCTTTCCTAGCTTTGGTATCAGAATGATATTAGCTTCATAGAGGGAGTTGGTAGAGTTCCTTGCTCCTCAATGTTTTGGAACAGATTCTTCAATATAGGTACAAGCTCTTCTTTGAAGGTTTGGTAGAATTCTGCTGTAAAATCATCTGGTCTGTGACTTTCCTTTGTTGGGAACTTTTTTATTATTGTTTCAATTTTGGTGCTTTACATTGGTCTTTTCAAAAGTTCTGTTTCTTCCTACTTGAGTCTAGAGAGGTAGTGTGATTCTATATGTTTGTCCATTTTCTCCATGTTTTCAAATTTCTGGGCATAGAGATTTTTATAGTATTCAGTTATAATATTTTGTATTTCTGTGATATCTGTTGTTATTTCCCCTCTTTCATTTCTGACAGAGATTATTAGAGATCCCACTTTTCTGTTTCTAGTTAATCTGGCCAAAGATTTATTACTTTTACTTATCTTTTCAAAAAACCAGTATTTTGCTTCATTAATCTTTCTTCTTTTGTGCTTGAATTCATTTAGTTCTGATCAGAATTTGGTTATTTCTTTTCTGCTCCTGTGTCTAGGATCAGATTACTCTTCCTTTCCCAGTTCCTTGAGATGATTCATTAGATTGTTGATTTGAATATTTTCTGATTTCTGGATGTGGGCTCTAATGTAATGAATTTACCTCCTAGGACTGCTTTTGCAATATCCTACAGGATTTGGTAGCTTGTGGCCTCATTGTCACTTTGTTCAACAAATCTAATAATTTTCTTCCTTACCTCCTCCTTGACTTGGTTATCATTCAGCACTAAATTGTTTAGTTTCCACGACTTTTTGTGAGGATGAGTGCTTCTGTTGGAACTGATTTCGATTTTTACTCCACTGTGGTCTGTAAAGATATTTTCTATTTTATAAAATTTGTTGAGGCTTATTTTGTGACCTAGGACATGGTCGATCTTGGAAATGATCCAGGAGTGGATGAGAAGAATGTATATATAGCAGTATTGGGGTGAAATGTTCTGTAGGTATTTGTTAAGCTCATTTGTTCTAGAGCCATGTTTAAGTCCAAAGTTTGTTTAATTTATGCTTGGAGTATCTGTCCAGTTCTGTCAGTGGGGTGTTGAAGTTCCTTGCTATTACAGTGTTGTTATCATTTTGTGTAGATCAAGTAAAATTTGCTTTATAAATCTGGAAGTGTCTAAGTTGATGCATAAATATTTAGGATTGGTATGTCTTCTTATTGAATTGTTCCTTTGATCAGTATATAATGTTCATCTTACTTTTATAGATTAAATTCAATAGTATCTGCAATGAATATTGCAACACCTTCTTTTTTTAGTTTCCATTAGCATGAAATACTGTTTTCCAACCCTTTATCCTGAGTCTTGATTTATTCTTGGGGGTTAAATCCATTTCCTGAAGACAATAGATACCAGGCTTGAATTTTTTTTTTTTTTTAATGCAATCAGCCAGCCCGTGTTCTCTTCAGTTGAGAGTTTAAGCTGTTCACATTTATTGAGAAAATTGATAACAAATGTGGATTATTTTTAATCCTATTGTGAGGCACTCTGTTGCTTTGTTTTGTCTCTTGGGCCATTGTAGGTGCTAGGCATTGTCCTTTAGTTACTAGGTAGTTTTACTTTGGTGGGCAACTAGTGTGTTGGTCTGTCCATAGTACAATTCTGAATACTTCATGCAGGATAGGCTGAGCAGTGACAGCTTTGTAATATTCAAGTTTTACTTCAATTTTTTCCTGGTTCCTTGGGCAGACCCTCTAGGGATTTTGCCTAAGATGATGCCTTCAATAAATTAAGGTAGCCTAACTTGTTTCTCCCATACCACGGATACCTTGTTATTTCACTTTGGTTCACTCCGTCCATGTCTTCCTATCCTGATGAGCCAAGTTAGCTTCTCCAATGTTACATACCCATTAATAAAGGAGTTGAGAGTAAAATGAGGTGGTCAAACTCCAGAGCACATACTCTTAAAACTAAAGTGTTTACAATGTGCCAGACATAGACTAAAACTCTCAAAAAGGTTTAGATGCTAATGTTTAAAAAACGGCCATAGTAACTTACATTTACAACAGCTTCAATGGCCTACTGAGAAAAGAAGGGGAAAAAATAACTAATATTTTAGTTTTTCTATTTTAGAAAAGGAACTATTATAAAAAGGATCCTTAGGAAATTTTTAAAAAGAACCTTAAGAACAACTTGAAAATAGAAAAAAAGATAATAATTGTTAAAAAATAAGATAATCATAGAAAACTAAAATTATTTAGAGACATTAGTTGCCCATGATGATATAAATAGAGCCTTCCCTCAGGGAAAAGCTCTAAGAAGAAAAACTAACAACAAAACCCACCAAAAACAAGGATTTCTTATATTATCTTTGGACTATAGGGTCTTTTTCCAGAACTTTAACCCATGAAAATAGGTTTTATATTACAGTTGCGGTCTCCTGTGCTGCCTTTGCATAGCTGCATGACCAGAGTGTGCCTCTAGATCAAAGCTATAAGAGCTAGAGAATTTCACCCCTATAGTTTTACTCCCCTTCACATTCCATCTGCTTTTGTTCATTTTTCAGAATATTCAGGTAGTTTCTGTTTCCATTTTATTCAGAGTTTTTGCTTGTAAGCAACAGAAAAGATAGTCTGTAGTAAGACTATTTCATCTTAGATGGAACCTAGAAGCCTCTGGGCTTCATGAGAGGAAGATCATTCTGATTTTACCCTTAATCCACATACAGCCTGACACATGGCAGGTACTCAGTTATTATCTGTGGAATACATGGCAAAGGAACTAAGAATTTTAAAATGTCAGACTCTTAAAATAATAAAATCATTTCTACATGGTTAACAAGAAAACTATCTTTTGTAGAAGAGTACCACATTCTAAAACCAAGAAGAGGTATTTCACATACATTAGGAAGGAAGGAAGGAAGGAAAGTATAAAGGAAATTAGATCCTTAATGATTATTCTCCAAAATACTCCTGCAGAAAAGGAAATCAGCAGGACAACTTAGAAAAAGGTTCTGCTTATATAGAAGAAAAACTTTGAAAGTTGGAATTAAAGGAAAGACTAGGACCCTGGCTAGTAGAGAACTTTGGCACAACTTTAGATAAAGAAAGCTGAAGAAGAAAAACCAGATATCTGAATAATGTAAGGATTGGAAGCAGGCTAGGTAGAATGTATGGGCCTTAGTTAGTTCTCTTCCCAATGTCCCTTTCCCTCTTTTTTAATATTGTGGCTGTCTCCTGTCTTCTGTGGCCAAAATTTCTTCTTATCTGTATCTTTCCTTGGTCTTACCTCTTCCTCTTGACATCTTTTTCATTTGAGTAATTTTATAAATGGCTGTTCATTAACATACTATAAATTTTGTAATTTAAAATGTAAATAAATTAAACTCATGAATAAACTCATGAATTTTATCTTTCTTTCTTTACTTACTCTTTTGAGACAGAGTCTTAATCCATGACCCTGAGTGAGTGCCACAGCATCATAGCTCACAGCAACCAAAAACTCTGAATTCAAGTAATCCTCTTCCCTCAGCCTCCTGAATAGCTGGGATTACAGGAATCCACCACAATGCCCAGCTAGTAGAGACAGCATCTCATTCTTGCTCAGGCTAGTTTTGACCTCCTGAGCTGAGGTGACCCACCTGTATTGGCCTTCCAGAGTACTAGGACACAGGCATGAGCCACTATACCCGGCCATAAATATTATCTTTCAATAGTGTTTTTTTCTTAGGAGTCAATCTCTTGACAGAAAAACATCTTTTTAATAGCTCGGTACAATTCTTTGAAATAAATTTGACATAAGCCAAAGCCTACCTGTACAATTCAGAGGTTAACTGTGGTATTCCAGGTTTCAAAGGGTTACAGTGACTGCATCCTGTTAGGAGGCCTCTTACTGTATTTTTGGATAGCTGGCATAATGTAAGGAATGAGGGCCCTGAAATAAGAAACATATTTGTTTTATTACCTTGGATAAATTACAATCTCTCATCATCTTTTACTGGGCATAGTAATATACCTATTTTTCTTATTTTGTGTTGACAGTGACAGAAAGCACAGTCAAGGTTGAGGGCAACCAAATATGAATTTAATTGGGACTGCAAACTAATACAACCCTACCTGCAATCCCACTTTTAGGTATCTACCCAGAAGAAAAAAAATCATTTTATCATAAAGACATATGCACTTGTTTATCACAGCTCGATTTACAATTGCCAAAATGTGAGAACAACCTAAATTAACCCAGAAATGGATTAACAAACTGTGTATGTATACCATAGAATACTGTTCAGCCATTAAAAAAGATGGAGACTTTATATCTTTTGTGTTAACCTTGATGGAGATGAAACACTTTCTTCTTAGTAAAGTGTCACAAGACTGCAGAAGCAAAAACCTAATGTACTCAATACATTAGAACCCAATAGATGATCTAATACATGCCCACATAAGAGAAAAACTCAAATCAATTCAAGATGGGGGACAGGGAAATGAGGGAGTGGGGAGAGAGCAAGAGGGAGGTGGGTATGCTCCCACTTAATGGGCACAATGTTAGGGTATATGCCACAGATCTTGAGTGCAGGACACAATTATAAGAGGGACTTTACCTAACAAATTCAAATTTAAATAATTGCTCATTGCTCCCTTCTAATTCTTTGTACCCTAAAATTAACCTGAAATAATTTTTAAAAATCAACAAAATCAAGTTGCAGGAAAATAAAAAATACAGCCAAAACAAAAAATGAGTTTACGTATAAGTTTAATGGAAATTAAGTATGAGTTTAAATATGTTTAATCATGACATGCTTTTTATATACTAAAGACTTCTTATTTGTTTAAATCCCAGTACCTTACACTTATGATCACCTGTTAAAATTTTTTATGTTACATTTACTTCAATAAGCTTCTTGAAATTCTTTTTGAAATGAGGTAGGGTATAAATATATCCATAAGTACCTTGCTAATATGGGAATTGAGTGACATGTTTGTATAACTTATACCAAAAGCTATAGTATTCAAAATTTCTATTACAAGTATGTAATGTTATTATCATATCGCTAGGCTTTGCTTTTAAAGTAGTGAAAAATTCTGATGAATTTAGAGGTTCCATTTTCACTTATTTTATCAGAAAGTCTGTTTGATTACATATATTAACAATCGACACAGTGTGATGCTATAAAAATAACTGAATAGCTCAAGCTCTCTGCTTTTCATTTGCAACCTCTGCACAATTCCAAACCTATAAAATGGGGTTGAGAGAGAGGATCTTAGATGCTCTAAGAACTATGATACCTTTAAGTTTATGATTCTATAAACCAAGATGGACCTACTAAGAAACAGGGTAAAAACATACAAATACATGCTTCTTGGGAATTTCATTTCTTAAATATTGTGAATGTATATATGCATATCATTTAATATAAACAACTTCTTGTCTTTATTGTGTTCAAGTACAAAATTACGGGTTTATCCTTTTGAAGAATGTTGTATAATACTGACATCTAGTGACTACTTCACAGACTAGTCAGCAAAAATGTATGGCCAACTCTGTCTTTTAAATGTGGATGATTCACTTAGCTAAATACTTTTAAATAATTATTCATTGCTCCCTTTTATAGATTTAAGAAAAGCCAATTAAACTTGGCAGTAGTATTAATAATAGAATAAAAAAACTAAATTTCCATCAGAAACCATAATGCAGATACAGTTCAGTTTAACTTATCCTCAGTGTGACTGCAACGTTTTTTCCATCAGTGAGAGTGACTGAAGTGGGATTTGAATTCCAGTGTTTCAATATGTAGTCCTTGCCTTTAGAATTACATGTTGCTGACACATCATAGGCATTAACATATATTTATTCAATTAATGTTAAGTAAAACCTATGCATCAACATTTGTGTTTGTATGTATTGCTTTGGAATTTTTCGAACTACTGCTGCCTTTCAAAGAATTCCTCTTGAGGTTAGACCAAAGATTAATAGATAAAAATAACTACACTATAAGTCTTTCTGAACAAATGATTTTGAGAGCTATTCTTTATAAGAGAATACTCTTTTTAAAAATCATTCAAACTAGCATCAGTTTTTTAAAGGTAACTACTAACTGGCATTATTATTTAATCAGAACAACAAAAAGCTGGGCTAACCTATCAGTACTACAGTTCAAATTAACTGCCACTATTAAAGTTCCTATGGTATTTAAGGTTTGTTTTTATCTATCAGATATTATCTTAATTTTTTAAATTCTTTTCAGGTGCCTAGATCATGTGTCCACAATAAAATCGTAAGGTGTCTGTCTTAGGTTGCACTGCTGTAAGAAAAATCACAGACTGGGTAATTCATAACAATCAAATATATTTCTCAAAAAAAAAAAAAAAAAAGCAAAAGGGCAGCGCCTATGGCTCAGTGGGTAGGGCGCCGTCCCCGTATAACGAGGGTGGTGGGTTCAAATTTGGCCCCAGCCAAACTGCAACAACAAAAAAAATAGCTTGGTGTTGTGGCAGGCACCTGTAGTCCCAGCTGCCCGGGAGGCTGAGGCAAGAGAATCGCCTAAGCCCAGAAGTTGGAGGTTGCTGTGAGCTGTGTGACACTATGGCACTCTACTGAGGCAATAAAGTGAGACTCTGTCTCTATAGGGGAAAAAAAAAAAAAAATATATATATATATATATGCTCTCTAGAATTGTGAAATAATATATATATGTATGTGTGTGTATGTATTTTTCACAATTCTGGAGGGTGGGAGTTCAAGATCAAGGTACCAGCATCTGGTGAGGGCCTTCTTGCTATGCTTTCTGGAGGTGAGGAAGGCTGTGACCTCATATGGCAGGAGATGCAAGGGCAAGGGGAGAATGAATCTTCTATAATGACATTAATACCATGAGGGGAGGGGCCTTATGGCCTAACAACCCCTTATAGGTCGCACTCTTAATACTGTTATAACGGCAATTAAATTTCAACATATGAGTTATGGAGGAACAACATATGAGTTATGGAGGAACTCAAAACATAGCAGTGTCTAAGCCCATTTCATTTTCATTTGCTATAATGAAATACCTGAGACTGGGTAATTTAAAAATAGCAGAAATTTATTTTTTCACGGTTCTGGTGTCTAGGAAATACAAGATCAAGGTGTTGGCAAGTTTGGTGTCTGGAGAGGGCCTAACCTCTTCTTCCTAAATGTGTCTTTTTTTTTTTGAGACAAGAGTATCACCATGGGTAGAGTGGCATGACATCACAGCTCACAGCAACATCAAACTCTGGGCTTAAGTGATTCTCTTGCCTCGGTCTCCCAAGTAGCTGGGACTACAGGTGCCTGCCACAATGCCTGGCTATTTTTTTGTAGCAGTTGTCATTGCTGTTTAGCTGGCCTACGCCAGGTTTGAACCTGCCAGCTTCAGTGTACGTGGCTGGTGCTGTAACCACTGTGCTACAGGTGCCATAACGACTGTGCTACAGGGCGCTGATTCCCCAAATGGTGTCTTGAATTCTGACTCCTCTTGGAGGGGATGAAGGTTGTATGGAAAGGCAAAAAGTGCCTTGCTGGTTCTCTCCAGCCCTTTCATAAGGACAATAATCCATTCATTAAAGCAGAGCCCTCATGACCTAATCACTCCTTAAAGGACCCACCTCTTTAATTTTGTGCACTGGGGATTAAGTTTCAACTTGAAATCTGAGAAGGACACAAACGTTCAAACTACAGCATTACACCCCTGGCCCTCCAAAATTCATGTTCTTCTCACATATAAAATACAATCATTCTATCCCAGTAGCCCCCAAAGTCTTAACTTTTTCCAACATCAACTCAAAGGTCTTGAGTACAGAGTCTCATCTAAATCAGATACGAGTGAGATTCAAAGTAGGATTCATCCTGAGGCTGTGAGCCTATGAATTCAAAAAAGTAATGTGCTTCTGAAATACAATGGTGGGACAAAGAGAAGACAGACATTCCCTTTTTATTATTTATTTATTTATTTAGAGACAGAGTCTTACTATGTTGCTCTCAGTAGAGTGCTATGGCACCATTGCTCACAGCAACCTCAAACTCTTTGGGCTTAAGTGATTCTCTTGCTTCAGCCTTCCAAGTAGCTGGGACTACAGGTGCCTACCACATTGCCTGGCTATTTTTTGGTTGCAGTTGTCACTGTTGTTTAGCAGGCCCCGGCCAGGCTTGAACACACTACCTTCCATGTAAGTGATCGGTGCTCTACTCACTGAGCTATGGATGCTGAGCTGACATTCCTTTTTTAAAAGGGAGAAATATGAAAGAAGAAAGGAGTAATAGGCCATAATTAAGTTCAAAACCCAAGCAGACAGGCATTAACTCTTGAGGCTTTAGAATATCTTTGTCTTCATGTCCCACCTTGTGGACACAATGGGGAAGAGTCTCCCCCAGGTCTTCTAGAAGTCTTGTCCCAGGGTTTTGCTGGGTGAAGCCCACATCACAGTTCTCATGGGTTGGAGTTCGGTGCCTATGGCTCTGCTAGGCTGGTGTTGCACAGTTGGTTTAGTGGTCTAGTGCCTTGGGGGGTGGCCCTGTCTCTATGGCTCCACTAGACACAGCCTTAGTGGCAACTCTGTGGAGATATTACACCTGAGGCTTTCTGCTACCTCCTTTGAAATCTAGGTGGCGGTAGCCATGCCTCCACAACTCACTCACTCTGTATGCCAACAGAGTTGGGACCACATGCATGCCACCAATGTTTACTGCCTATGCTCTCTGGAGCCATATCCAAGCCTTCTGGAACCACAGCTAGTGCAGTAAGAAGTGCTGTACAAAAATGTATGGAGCAGAAACTTGAGGCAGTCTTGAGAGGCAAGCCCTGAGGTTCCACGGGTACCCTTGGCTCCTCACTTGAAACTCTTCTCCTCTCAAGACCTTGGCATTTGGCACCTGTGATAAGAA